AGAATATACATTCTTCTCAGCACCACATCGCACTTATTCCAAAATCGACCACATAGTTGGAAGTAAAGCACTCCTCAGCAAATGTAAAAGAACAGAAATTATAACAAACTGTCTCTCAGACCACAGTGCAATCAAACTAGAACTCAGGACTAAGAAACTTAATCAAAACCGCTCAACTACATGGAAACTGAACAACCTGCTCCTGAATGACTACTGGGTACATAATGAAATGAAGGCAGAAATAAAGATGTTCTTTGAAACCAGTAAGAACAAAGATACAACATACCAGAATCTCTGGGACACATTTAAAGCAGTGTGTAGAGGGAAATTTATAGCACTAAATACCCACAAGAGAAAGCAGGAAAGATCTAAAATTGACACCCTAACATCACGTTTAAAAGAACCAGAGAAGCAAGAGGAAACACATTCAAAAGTTAGCAGAAGGCAAGAAATAACTAAGATCAGAGCAGAACAGAAGAAGATAGAGACACAAAAAACACTCCAAAAAATCAATGAATACAGGAGTTGCTTTTTGAAAAGATCAACAAAATTGATAGACCGCTAGCAAGACTAATAAAGAAGAAAAGAGAGAAGAATCAAATAGATGCAATAAAATATGATAAAGGGGATATCACCACCGATCCCACAGAAATACAAACTACCATCAGAGAATACCATAAACACGACTACGTAAATAAACTAGAAAACCTAGAAGAAATGGATATTTTCCGGGACGCTTACACTCTCCCAAGACTAAACGAGGAAGAAGTTGAATCCCTGAATAGACCAATAGTAGGCTCTGAAATTGAGGCAATAATTAATAGCCTACCAACCAAAAAAAGTCCAGGACCAGATGGATTCACAGCCAAATTCTACCAGAGGTACAAGGAGGAGCTGGTACCATTCCTTCTGAAATTATTCCAATCAATAGAAAAAGAGAGAATCCTCCCTAACTCATTTTATGAGGCTAACATCATCCTGATACCAAAGCCTGGCAGAGACACAACAAAAAAAGAGAATTTTAGACCAATATCCCTGATGAACATCGATGCAAAAATCCTCAATAAAATACTGGCAAACCGAATCCAGCAACACATCAAAAAGCTTATCCACCATGATCAAGTGGGCTTCATCCCTGGGATGCAAGGCTGGTTCAACATACACAAATCAATAAACATAATCCAGCATATAAACAGAAGCAACCTACAGAATGGGAGAAAATTTTTGCAATCTACTCATCTGACAAAGGGCTAATATCCAGAACCTATAAAGAACTCAAACAAATTTACAAGAAAAAAACAACAACCCCATCAAAAAGTGGGTAAAGGATATGAACAGACACTTCTCAAAAGCAGACATTCATACAGCCAACAGACACATGAAAAAATGTTCATCATCACTCACCATCAGAGAAATGCAAATCAAAACCACAATGAGATACCATTTCACACCAGTTAGAATGGCAATCATTAAAAAATCAGGAAACAACAGGTGCTGGAGAGGATGTGGAGAAATAGGAACACTTTTACACTGCTGATGGGACTGTAAACTAGTTCAACCATTGTGGAAGACAGTGTGGCGATTCCTCAAGGATCTAGAACTAGACATACCATTTGACCCAGCCATCCCATTACTGGGGATATACCCAAAGGATTATAAGTCATGCTGCTTTAAAGACACATGCACATGTATGTTTATTGCGGCACTATTCACAATAGCAAAGACTTGGAATCAACCCAAATGTCCATCAGTGACAGACTGGATTAAGAAAATGTGGCACATATACACCATGGAATACTATGCAGCCATAAAAAAGGATGAGTTTGTATCCTTTGTATGGACATAGACGCAGTTGGAAACCATCATTCTCAGCAAACTATCACAAGAACAGAAAACCAAATACTGCATGTTCTCACTCATAGGTGGGAATTGAACAATGAGATCACTTGGACACAGGAAGGTGAACATCACACACCAGGTCCTATTGTGGGGAGGGGACGGGGGGAGGGATAGCATTAGGAGATATACCTAATGCAAATGACGAGTTAATGGGTTCAGCACACCAACATGGCTCATGTATACTTATGTAACAAACCTACACATTGTGCACATGTACCCTAGAACCTAAAGTATAATAACAAAAAAAAAAAAAAAAACAGAAGCAAAGACAAAAACCACATGATTATCTCAATAGATGCAGAAAAGGCCTTTGACAAAATTCAGCAGCCCTTCATGCTAAAAACTCTCAATAAATTCGGTATTAATGGAACATATCTTAAAATAGTAAGAGCTATTTATGACAAACCCACAGCCAATATCATACTGAATGGGCAAAAACTGGAAGCATTCCCTTTGAAAACTGGCACAAGACAGGGATGCCCTCTCTCACCACTCCTATTTAATGTAGTGTTGGAAGTTCTGGCCAGGGCAATCAGGCAAGAGAAAGAAATAAAAGGTATTCAGTTAGGGAAAAAAGAAGTCAAATTGTCCCTCTTTGCAGATGACATGATCATATATTTAGAAAACCCCACCGTTTCAGCCCAAAATCTCCTTAAGCTGATAAGCAACTTCAGCAAAGTCTCAGGATACAAAATCTATGTGCAAAAATCACAAGCACTCTTATACACCAGTAACAGACAAACAGAGAGCCAAATCATGAATGAATTATCATTCACAATAGCTTCAAAGAGAATAAAATACCTAGGAATCCAACTTACAAAGGATGTAAAGGACCTCTTTAAGGAGAACTACAAACCACTGCTCAGTGAAATAAAAGAGGACACAAACAAATGGAAGAACATTCCATGCTCATGGATGGGAAGAATCAATATTGTAAAAATGGCCATACTGCCGAAGGTAATTTATAGATTCAATGCCATCCCCATTAAGCTAACAATGACTTTCTTCACAGAATTGGAAAAAACTGCTTTAAAGTTCATATGGAACCAAAAAAGATCCCGCATTGCCAAGACAATCCTAAGCCAAAAGAACAAAGCTGGAGGCATCATGCTACCTGACTCCAAACTATACTACAAGGCTGCAGTAACCACAACAGCATGGTACTGGTACCAAAACAGAGATATAGATCAATGGAACAGAACGGAGCCCTCAGAAATAATACCACACATCTACAGTCATCTGATCTTTGACAAACCTGACAAAAACAAGAAATGGGGAAAGGATTCCCTAGTTAATAAATGGTGCTGGGAAAATTGGCTAGCCATAAGTAGAAAGCTGAAACTGGACCCTTTCCTTACTCCTTATATGAAAATTAATTCAAGATGGATTAGAGATTTAAATGTTAGACCTAAAACCATAAAAACCCTAGAAGAAAACCTAGGAAATACCATTCAGGACATAGGCATGGGCAAAGACTTCATGTCTAAAACACCAAAAGCAATGGCAACAAAAGCCAAAATTAAAAGTGAGGTGCTTATTAAAAATACAGATTAGTAAGCCACAATCTGTAAGAAATAATGCTTTTCACCTCAAAGAGTCCTTTAGACAATTTCAAAAGGTAGCAGTTTGGGGAAGCATTGAACTAGATAATTTTGGAGATACCTCAGAGTTTTACAATTATAGGATTCTACACATTTTACAATCTCCATTAAATATATGCCTTTGTAACTCCATATTTTGGCACTTAAGAACTTTGCACTAACTTTGGAAACTGTATCCCAAACTCTGTGGGAAGTTCCAAATGGCCTACCTGATTTCTCCAGGTCCCTGAGGCACACTTTCGCCTTGTCGTCGTTGACAAGTACTTTTTGATTCAGTCAAATTCTTGTCCTTTGCTCTGAATCTTGTGGCTGATTCTTCACTTTCTGCTCTGGTGTCAATTATGGTCATCTGTTAATTCCTACACACAAAATAATTAATCACATTAAGGCCCACGGAGTGAACTTTATTGGAGACTTTGGCGGGGGGAGGTTAGGGGAGTTCCTGCAGAGATACAAACAGCTTTGGAATGAGTACAAGGCAAACCTGTTCCAGAAGCCTTCAGCCAGAGACAAGTTACTCAGGCAGCCTCTCTCTCTGCCCTTCCTTCACGTATGGTGCCGATGGGAAAAAACACAGGTACCTGAGTGACCAGGATGGAAGACACAAAGAGGTGAGTTTGACGTGGATGGTGAGGCACAGACAGACGGTTGGGGAGGATCAATAATCCTAGGAGGAGAAGCAGAGCAGGTTGGAGGCCCTGAAATCTGCTGTTTGTGGAGTAGCTGACTGAGTAGGGGATTGGCTGGGAATTAGGCTGGAGACGTAGAGGCAGGGAGAAGTACATTTGTGTTCAGGAGCTTGTGTGATCAGGCAAATTGGATCACAGAGTGTTAGTTATATTAAATAATGTTAGGATTGAGCACAATTACTTTATTTAGAAAAGCCGCAGATTTGAGTAGAAGGACATCAAAAGGTGGAGGACAGCATTTGAGCCTCCACAGCAGAGTTCATATTCAGACAAGCAAATAGATACTTGGCTTTGTGAAAGCAAAGCTAAAAGCTCTGGTGAGCTTGTTGTATGTATTTGTGAACCCAAGAAACTTGAGATTTTTCCAAGTGTCTTCTCATTTGTTTGCTAGGCCAGTTCCCACTAAGGCAATTCCCTAAGTTACCGAGTACATGTTCTGACACTCAGAGTTTTTACTGAAGTCTCTTGTAATCCCCAAATTCCCTAGAAAAAAATGTATTTCTACAGTTCATGTGTCATTGACATAGAATATCCTCTTATTTAGTTTCTGAACCAGAAACTGAAAACATTAAACGGTTCCAAAATGTCCTTCTAACTCAGGAACAGGATGGGTGCCCTTATTCTTTCCTTCCAGATCCTAATATCCTAATGCTAACATTCAATATCTTAATGTCACTCCTAAAGTAGGACTTATCACTGATTCCATTTGTATTCTTGCCCCTCCCCATCCCATCCCAACTCCTACAAACACACACCACAGTACACAACTAGATTCTAAGACTCTTGAAGGCAGGGACAATGTCTTCTCGCTGTGGTTTCCCCAGAATCTTGTTCTCCTCCTGACTTTAGGTGATATATACCTATGTGACAAATGAATGGACAAATGAGCTGTGTTTGTGACTCTTCCAGGTGAGCATGGGACAACAAGGGAAGATGGGAGGCAATGAGGAGCATGTCCATGGTAAGAACTTGTGTCTGGAGGGCACGTATGCCCTCTGTGTTTGTGCCTGGATTGGGTACAGGGGTGGAGAATGACTCAAGGCTGAAGACAGCTAAGATATGTTTCTTTTGGGAGAAAATTCCTTTAGCTATCTTCTAAAGGATAGAGGGGTTGTGACCAGTAGGATATCACAGTGAAAGCCCTGGCACCAACTCTGCTCCTGGTCTGCTGTGTGATGTTGTGGAAAGTCTTTTGACTGCTCTGGCCTCAGTAAGAGAGCATAGTTGAGGCTCTGTCCTTTTCAACAGGGTGAGGACCAAGGGTATAGAGGATAGAGTAAACATGATTTACCAAAGAAAGTGTTGGAGAACAATGAGTAAGAGTTAAAATATTAGGAGAGCTCAAGGGAGAGAAAATGAGGGAGGGAGAAAGAGAGAAGAAAGGGAGACTGAGAGACAGAAGATGGGAAATGGAGACTGACTGATAATGACAAAGAGAGCACCTTTCTAACATGGTTCTGCTGTTGGATTTTACCAACTAAGATCCAAGTCAAGAAGGGGAGACAAACGGGGATTCACATGCATCATTTCCTCTCAATGACCGACTTACATGGTGATGTAAGAGCGGAGTGATGACAGAGCCCAGTGAGGGCACTTAGTTGGGAGAGAGATGACATCCTGACTGAACAGGAAAAGGGGGGGTGGAATAAATCCCAATCATTTATTTCACATCCCACCTTAAAAGAAATGTCTCTGCCTACCTTCCATTTTGGCGGGGCACTACTTATTCAAATGATAAAGGACTCACTTGGTCAGGAAGCCGGCACTGCAGGACAGCCTGTGGATCAGGGGCATCATGAGTAGTTCAGTGTATGACAGGCTCTGTATGCAACATCCCACTTAATCCTCAAAGGAATCTTTAAGGTAGGTTAAACAGTTATTATCTGCATTTTTCAATATGAGGAAACTGAGGATAGCAGAGGTAAAGTAAAGTCAGAAATAATTACTGAGAAGAGCTATATATGGAAAGAAGTGACTTTTGCCATACACTACAAAATAGTTGACTTGGAAATATTGTGTGGTACTAGGATGGGTAATGAGTCATGCTAGACTCTGTGACAGAAATGAACAAACTTTGAAATTTACCAAGAGAAGTGATACAAGAAGATTTTGGAAGGGTATATTTGGAGAGCACCTCAGGGATTATCAAAATTCAACCCCCTTCATTTAAAATGTGACAAAAGTGAAATTCAGAGATTTTCCTGTACATGGACTTCAGACAGCAGCAGGGCAGATGCCACCATTCAGGTGTTCTACCTTCCAGGTATGGGCAGCTCTTAACACCCTGTAGGTGCCGCTCTCCTAATCAGAATCAGAATCAGAAGTCAATTAGTGACTTTTGAATGGGACTAAGAAAATTCAGGAGCACTGGCTTTGTAATTTCCTTGCCCCTGTTAATACAATGGCAAAGGCTGGTATGGCCCAGTTGATTAGGAATAAAGTGTTAGGCTTTGATCTCTGGGGTGGGATGGTAGATTCCACTCTGTCTGCCACTGGCCTAGATAACTTTAGACCTTGAAGTCCCCAGAGCCCCTGCAGAGAATAATGCCAGCCCTCAAATGCCCAGATCCGGATGGGCAGGGACAGAGATTTCAAAAGAAGTTGATCTTAGAGAAGTGAAAACCAATATATTGCCTCACTCTCTTAGGCTCTGTATACAAGGCTGACCTAAAAACAGTTGCCTTGTATCAGCTCAGCTTCCCAGAGATTGGCTCAAAATCACAGACAGGGGCCTTAGAAATGGCACCAAGATCTGAATTTTAGTCAGGAGACCCCCAGATCACATTCCTTATCTACCACCCAAGCTGACATGGTCTCTTATTCCCAGCCCTCTGAAAGCAACGACTTAGATTCACTAAAGATGTTCCACGTGCCAGCCACTCTGCTCAGCATGTATGCGGATTAGCTCATATAACCCTCTCAAGAACCCTCTGAGGAACCATGGATATTATTACTCCCATTTTACAGAAGAAGGAAATTAAGGCTCAGGGAGATTAAATAACTTCCCACAGCTACCCGGTTAGCCAGTGCAGAGGCGGTGGTTCAAACCCAGGGGCTGAGCTGACTCTAGCCCCCACTCAGATCCTACTCCCACTTCCAAAGGGTGGTTTCTGGAAGACTTGTTAGAGAGCCCACCACAGTTGCAGTTGTCCAGAGTGGGAAGGCCAATGCGAAAGCAGGGGAAATAAATCCCTGTGCAGCCTGCATGTGTGCAGATGACCAGAGAGAGCTACTGTCAGATGAGGTAATGGCCTGAAACTATAAAGGGTTCCCCCTGGAGAAAGGTTCCTCAAGCTCTGGGACATCAACAGGGGCATGTGGTGAAACCAAAGGGGACAGGACTGGATGAGTAAGGACCACCCGGGACGGCAAATCTCTCATTAGATCACCTCAGTGAAGGTTTGCTTTAAAAAGTGAAAGTCGAACGCACTCTTCTCCTTGATTCAGAAGGCATCCAAGAGATCCATTTACCTAGGTATGCTGGCTTAGGTTTGAAAGCTTACAAATAATTTACTCTCGCAGGTTCAGCAGAGGACACCCAGTCCCGGCAGGAGCCCACGCTGAGGCTCATCCTTGTTGGGAGAACAGGGGCCGGAAAGAGCGCCACTGGGAACAGCATCCTGGGCAAGAGACGGTTCCTCTCCAGGCTGGGGGCCACATCTGTGACCAGGGCCTGCACCACGGCCAGCCGCAGGTGGGACAAGTGGCATGTGGAAGTAGTGGACACTCTGGACATTTTCAGCTCCGAAGTGCCTAAGACAGACCCCGGCTGTGAGGAGAGAGGTCGCTGCTACCTGCTCTCGGCCCCCGGGCCCCACACGCTGCTCCTGGTGACCCAGCTGGGCCGGTTCACCGCCCAGGACCAGCAAGCGGTGAGGCAGGTGAGGGACATGTTCGGGGAGGACGTCCTGAAATGGACTGTCATCGTCTTCACCAGGAAGGAGGACCTGGCGGGGGGCTCCCTGCAGGATTACGTGGGCAGCACAGAGAACCGGGCCCTGCGCAAGCTGGTGGCCAAGTGCGGGGGCCAGGTCTGTGCCTTTGACAACCGGGCCACTGGCCGGGAGCAGGAGGTTCAGGCGGAGCAGCTTCTGGGGCTGGTGGAGGGCCTGGTGTGGGAGCACGAGGGCGCCCACTACTCCAATGAGTTGTACGAGCTGGCGCATCTCCTGCGCTGGGCAGGCCGGGAGAAGCGGCTCCGGAGGGTGGTGGAGGGCGTGGCCGCCCGCATGCGCAGGAGGCTGTGGGGCGCCTGGCTGCGGGCCGGGTTGTGGGCGTGGCCGAAGCCGCTCTGGAGCTAGAGGCTGGGCCTGGCCCTGCTGATGGGGGGCGCACTCCTGTTCTGCGTGCTGCTCCACAGGCGCTGGTCGGCGGCCTTTGCTGAGGTCAGATCTGACTGACAGATTGTAAACGTGGCTCTGACCCCTCAGCTGATAATCGCATTCATCTTCCTCACTTGGTGTTCAGAGCTCACAGACTCTCCTCTCCTCCCTCACCTCGCCTTAATCCACCACCGTGAGAGTTCTGCCGAGACCCATCTCCCACCAAAACCGTCTCATACCACCCAGCCTCCCTAAGCATTCTCACTACTGAAGCCAAAGACCACTGTTGCTTTGCCTCTTCTCCAGTGGCCTTGGCTGTCTTTCCCTGCACTGAGTTTTCTTCTCTCCAGAGAACAGATGAGGGGTGCTTGTCCCCCATTCCCTGCAGTCCCCACAGGACCACAAGCAAGAACCATCCCAACGCAGAGCTTCAGTCCTTTGCACCCTTGTTTATTCGAATGGAATTTATTTCCATAAATAAATATACTGCATGATCACATTGTGTCAAAGGAAATCAGTCTTTGTGGATGTTTGCTTATCTGTCTTACATGCCCCCTGAAAAAAGACATGACTCTGTCATCCTTACCAGCAAAAACATGCACAGAAACACACACACACACACACACAAACATACATTCTTGTGTGTAACCATAAAAGAAAGTATGTTGGTGTAAATTTGCCATCTGCACCAGTTGGGGAGTGTCTCCCCATGCATCCCCACTCAGACCCCTCAACAGTTGAATGCAGATGATTCTGCAAGTCCAAGGAGAATATAACTAGAGGCTCAATTCCCAGGGTTTATTGAGGGCTTGCACAAAGCTTACTTCAAGGAGGCTTATATACTCACAGAGTAAGTTATGCAAGATGAATTAGTTCTTGAGATCTGTTCAACTCAAAGATAAATAAAAAAATTAAGAGGTTTGGAAATTTTTATTTTACTAAAAAGGGGCAAACAGGTTTTTGTGGACTGAGAACCAATGATATGATGATGGAATAGAGACTCCTCTTCTGACCCACACATACCTGGGAGAATCAGATTTCTGGTCCACGTAAAATGAGGCAGGTTAGCTTGTGCTGTCTACCCCTACAGTTCCTCCACATTCCTCCACCCATATTGACTTTGTCTCCAACCCCACCACTCTCACCCACAGATTCCAGCTCATCTCTTTGGTGTTGCTCTATAATGCCAAACCTCTCCCCTACAGCATCTACCACCCATTGCATTCACAGCCAGAGAGACCCAGGTTACTGATGGCCTCAATGACTGAAGAGACAAGCAAAAAGGGAAAATAAGCTGCAACACCTGAGCTCATGCTGGAGAGCAAGCACACAAGTCCCTCCTGGAAGCCATTGCACACATCAACAGGAACACCAGTGCCAATTGCTGAGACTTGACATTTCCTCAGCAGTAGGGGCTTTTAGGGAGTTGGTTTAGGGAGTTGTGAACAGATCTTAGCAGAGGCCTTGGTAGAAAATCACTTTTCAATATACTCTTGCCACGAACAAACAGAGAAAAGTTCTGCCATTGGCAGCCTGAAGAGAAAGGGAGTGATCATTGATGAAAATAAGTGTGAAAAAAGAATAGCAAAGTGCCCATTGTAAGCAGTTGAAGGTTTTAACCCTTGACCCAAATCAAGTGAGAAAAACTAGATTCTTGCTCTTTGGTTGAGGAGGAATGGGCCCAGACAATTCCTAAGGGGCAGTGACTCAGCTGGTGGGAATGTGGAAGGAGCACTCCAGGAATCCCAGAGAGGAAGTTGATTATCTGGTTCAACTGACACCCAGCTAGGGCTGAATGCAGGACATGCTAGGGAAAAGGGTGTGTTTAGTATGCAGTGTGTTACAAGGCTGTCTGTAAGTAGTGGTATATACACAAAAGGATAAAGGATGTCATGAAAAATACCTGAAACAAATTAATGGGTAAAAACAACCTACAGTGTGGAGACAACTGTATATCCACATACGAAAGAATGTTGGACCCCCTACCTCACACTATATGCAAATATTAACTCAAAGCAGATCAAATACCCAAATATAAGAGTTAAAATGATTAAAGTCTTAAAAAGAAAACAGGTGTGTAGCTTCATGCCCTAGGACTAGGCAACAGTTTCTTAGATATGACACCAAAAGCACAAGCAACCGAGGAGAAATAGATACATTAGGTTTTCTGAAGTTTTAGTAAGGTGTACTTAACAAATAAAAATTTTATATACTTAAGGCATATAATTTGGTGTTTTGATATGCATATATATTGTAAAATATCACCACATAGTTACCTTTGTGCGTGGTGAGAACACGTAAGATCTACCCTTTTAGCAAACTCCAAGGACAGTAAGGAATTGCTTAATGACTGGTATGTGTTCGGAGATATGCATTATTAGGCAATTTTGGCATTGTGCAAACATTATAGAGTGTATTTACACAAACCTAGTTGGTATAGCCTACTACATACCTGGGTTATATGGCATAACCTATTATTTCTAGGTTCCAGAGAGAATGGAGTCCTCACTCTGTAGAGAAGGGAACAGAGGTGGCACACCTTTGAGAGATATATCAAGCTCTGCTTCCATCATAGTGTAGGGTTATATCCAGATTTCTCACCAGAAACCATGGTGGCCAGAAGTGACACAACATTTTTCAAGTGTTGAGAGAAAAGGGTTGTACAGCATGTTACTGTACCGAATACTGTAGGCAATTATGACACAATGGTAAGTATTTTTGTATGTAAACACATGTAAACATAGAGACATAGAAAAGGCATAATAAAAATACAGTATAAAAGATAAAAAATGGTACACCTGTATAGGGCATTTACCATGAATGGAGCATGCAGGACTGGAAGTTGCTGTGCGTAAGCTAGTGAGTAAGTGAATGGTGAGTGAATGTGAAGGCCTAGGACATTACTGTACACTACTGTAGACTTTGTAAACACTGTACACTTAGGCTACAATAAATTTATTTTAAAAATAAAGTAATTGCACTATGATGTTATGACAGCTAACATATTACTAGGCGATAGAAATTTTCAGCTCCATTATAATCTTAGAGGACAACCATCATATATGTGATTCATCATTAATTGACCAAAACATCATTATGCATCACATGACTACAACACTGTTAACTATAGTCATACAACTTTGTTAACTATACACGTTAACTATAGTCACATTGATTACATTAGAGCTCCATAGCTAACATTTTTCACTCTTTGACCAATATTGCCATATTTTTCATTTGCTTTAGCCCCAGGCAACCACCATTCTATGAGTTTGACTATTTTAGACGTCACAAATGAGTAAGACCATGCACTATTTGTCTCTCTGTGTTCAACTTATTTCATTTAGCATAATGACTGGATTTCTTCAAAATTAAAAATTTTCCCTATCAAAGAATGCCACTAGGAAAATGAAAAGACAACCCCTAGAATAAAGCAAAATATTTGAAAATAATATATCTGTAAAGACCAAGTATCAGAATATATAAAGAATTCTTACAACTCTAAAAATGACAAATACTTCAATTTAAAAATGGGCAAAAGATTTGAATAGACATTTCTCCAAGGAAGATACAAAAATGTCCAATAAACATATGGAAAGATGCTCATTATTATTGGTCATTAAGCAATGCAAATCAACAACCAAAATAAGATGCCACATCAGATCCACTGGGATGGTTATAATATTTTTAATGAAAAAATTAACAAATATTGATGAGGATGTGGGGAAATTAAACCCTTATACATTTCTAGTGGCTATATAAAATGGTACCACTGCTGTGGAAAACAATTTGGCATTTCTACAAAAAGTTAGACATAGACTTACCATATGACTCAGTAATTCCATTCTTTGTAAGTGCCCGAGAGAAGTGAAGGCATACGCTCATACAGAAACTTCTACATGGATATTCACAGCAGCACTACTCATAATAACCCCAAAGTGGAAACAACACAAATGTCTATCAACTGATGAATGGACAAACAAATATGGCATATTCATACAATGGAATGTTATCTACCCATAAAAAGCAATGAAATACAAGTACATGCTACAATATGAATGAACCTTGAAAGTATTATTCTAGGACAAAGAAGACTGACACAAAAGATCATATAAATACATTATTCCACTTACATGAAACCTCCAGAACCAGGGTGGACTCATAAGAGTGTTCTTCAGAGGATTTTAACTTTAGTTTCTTGCATTCTGTTGACATTTATATTCTGCTTCACTTTTTAAGTTTTTCTCTACTCTTATGGTTGAATTATGTTCCCCGCAGAAAAGATATATTGAAGTCCTAACTCCCAAGCCTGTGAATGTGACCTTTTTGGAAACAAGGTCTTTGCAAATTTAATCAATTTAATCAAGTTCATATTTAGTTGAGTTAAAATTAAAGTCATAAGAGTTAGACTTAATTCAATTTAATAGGTATCTTTATAACAAGAGGAAGATTTGGACAGAGACACATGCAGAGAAAAGACAGCCATGTGAAGTCGAGGCAGAGATTTAGAGTTTTACTACCACAAGCCAAGAAACACCTGGATCTATCAGAAACTGAAAGAGGCAAGCAAGGATTTTCCTTCGGCGACTTCAGAGGGAGCACAGCCTTAACAACACCTTGATTTCAGACTCTGGACCTCTTGAATGGTGAGAGAGTCAATTTTTATTGTTAAAGTCACCAAGTTTGTGATACTCTGTTATGGCAGCCCTAGGAAACCAGTATATCCTCCATGTTGAGATTCTCTAGTTAATCCTGGTCAACACTAATAATTATATGTTGATGCCATTCCGGGGATGAAAGGGAGGGTAGTATATAAGTGTGGGTAGGCAGGGCAGTGAGGGGAATACAGGCTGCCTCCAACCACCCTCCTCTGAGAAAAGCACGAAGGTAGCAGCAGTGACCAAGGGAGCACATTGATCCTGAAGGACCAGGTGATGACCAAAACCAAAGCAAGGCAAGGCCCACTATAGAACTAAGGG